CTTCTAGAGACTCCAAATACACAATGACATGTCCCCTTTAACCTGCATGTGAATCTAGGTTACATAACCATTTCATTAAACATTAAAGTTTAAGCAAAACTAAAATTATTTCCTGTATAAAATGACTTTTTTTTAAATTCATGCTTTTGTTATCGTTGGTCCCATCAGAGCAATGATTCAAACCTGTGTAATGTCCACCGTGCATTCCTCCATGGTGGTTGCAGACCGCGAACAGATCATACAGGAAGTCCGGAGGAGCCAGGTCCGGCCTCCTGGAATGCTTCCAGCCCGGCTGAAGTGGGACCTGCTGTGGGCCGTTGTTGCGGCTCACCATGTGAGGCGTCATGTCCAGGCCCGCCAGGGGGAAATGRACAAACGTGGTGAGCTTGTTCCTCCTCTCGCCCACCTGTCTGAAGCGCTTCAGGTGYAGGATGAGGATGTCCGGCAGGGTCCACAGGCTCATCTTCACCATGCCCTGCTGCAGCTGCTTACAGTGGGGGCACTTCCAGGCGTCGTCTGGGGCAAGCTGGCCGTGCATAAAAACCACAATTAGAACATTTTGGAAAACATTTAAATCTGCTGCTTGAAATGACTTACTCTGACTTAGTTTTGRAATAATATAATGTGTTGTATAAACTGTCAAAGAATCAAGATCAAAATAAATGTTAAAGCTGCTAATAATGGTTCATTGGGATCACTCCKTGACAGAACTCTTAATATAGCAGGCAGAAAGAAACACAACAAAATAAATACTTAGCTGTCCTGAAATATGCCTGAACCATAAATGAACGATGCGGCTGGTATGTCAGTTTTTATGTGTTTACTATGTTTTCAGTTCCAGCTTTGAAGAGAGAATTCCAAGCTGGGATAAGATGGAAGCCAGTGAGAGTTTGGATGTGTGCCCTCTGCACTTTGAGAGGGCTTGAGAGAAAATRGTCAGTGCTGTAGTGGTCAGAGACAAGTGATTTATGTACAAACTGAGAAACATGAAGTCTGCTTGAGTCATAATTAGATTTTGTGCATAATAATGAGATTAATTAAAGGGGCAATATCATGTAAAATCAACTTTTTTGAGCTTTATATCATGTTATAATCCTGTCCAGGGTGTACCCCGCCCTTCGCACTGTGACTGCTGGATATGGGCACCAGTGACCCACGCAACCCTGAAAAGGAAGAAGCGTGTACAGAAAATGGATGGATGAATGGATCATGTTATAATGTTATCCTCTCATCAAAAACATGCCCAAAGTTTTGCTTTGACTTATTCATGCATGTCTGAGAAATCCTGTGCTGTCCTGAGGCAGCAGGCAGGGGAGCAAAAATGACCYYTTGGGACTAGAACCACCTTCTGGGACCAGCTCCTCCTCTGGGCTGTGTCTCCAAGCCAACAAACACCCAGTGAAACAGCATCTGCTGAGCTCCTACTACTACTTGTCAGTCCAGCCCTTTACAGATTAAAAATACCTTTGAAGAAATAGATTTTCAGATGCCAAGTAAACTACACCGAGCTTCTGCATCACAGTGCGCTGCAGCCCCCCACCCCAAATTGACAGAGGCCAATTTCAAGATTTCAAGGTGATTAGAAATGGATATGATGAGAAGTCAAGTTTATTTTATATTTAAACATATAAACAACATTTTAACAACAACTGAAGGTAACATAGTTACTTTACTATGGTATAGTATTTAAATATATGCCTGAGAAACACATAATATTGGCCCTTTAAGAGTTCAGAGTTTTTATTGTCATTCTAAATGTGCACATGAGAAATGAAAGACAAATACTGAAGGCCACGGTTATCAGCAATGATAAAAACACAAGCAATAAGAAGATAAAAAGAAAAACAGAATTAAAGAAACAAATGTACATTGTGTATTGCACATGGAGTGTATTGCAACATACAAATGTACAAATTCAGCCACAACTTTCTGTGACCCGTTCAAACTTTGCCTGACGTCTTGGTGTGCAGTCTGAGCTGTAGAGTACAGAGACACTAAGACAGGGTGGGCAGTCCTGGTCCTCAGGGGCCACTGGGCCACAGTTACTGCAGGCCACCAGCTCAGGGGCCGAATATCCAGCAATTAAAGCCATTATGTAATTAAACCAAGTATTACAAAGATCTGTTACATTTGAAATAGTTTATTTTGCTGCATTTAACCATGAATAGATCATACAAAACCCTATAAAAGTAGCAGTAATTTAACAATATCAAAAACAAAAATGACACATTATGGCTCCTGTTTAACACAAATATTATTTTTATATTGACTTGCCAATTTGTTTTTACCTTTCATGGTTTTATCTTCAACTGCTTGTAGTTTTAACTGTCTTGATTGTGCATAGAAATGGTTTTACCAGCTTGTAGCCACAATTTTGACATTTCTGTAGATACAAACCATGTCTATGTTTAACTAAAATAACTTTTAGTAATTAAAGTAGAAAACTGGGGGTTTGGGCTTAAGAGATGAATGAACCAATTGGCGGGCCGAACTTGGGTCACTCGCGGGCNTGGTGTGCAGTCTGAGCTGTAGAGTACAGAGACACTAAGACAGGGTGGGCAGTCCTGGTCCTCAGGGGCCACTGGGCCACAGTTACTGCAGGCCAACAGCTCAGGGGCCGAATATCCAGCAATTAAAGCCATTATGTAATTAAACCAAGTATCTGTTACATTTGAAATAGTTTATTTTGCTGCATTTAACCATGAATAGATCGTACAAAACCCTATAAAAGTAGTGGTAATTAAACAATATCAAAAACAAAAATAACACATTATGGCTCCTGTTTAACACAAATATTATTTTGATATTGACTTGCCAATTTGTTTTTACCTTTCATAGTTTTATCTTCAACTGCTTGTAGTTTTAACTGTCTTGATTGTGCATAGAAATGGTTTCTACCAGATTGTAGCCACAATTTCGACGTTTCTGTAGATACCAAACATGTCTATGTTTAACTAAAATAACTTTTAGTAATTAAAGTAGAAAACTGGGGGTTTGGGCTTAAGAGATGGATGAACCAATTGGCGGGCCGAACTTGGGTCACCCGTGGGCCGGATGTGGCCCGCGGGCCGCCAGTTGAATAGCCCTGATTTAGAGGTTTCTRTGCTCCAACACTCCTACTCCTAAGTTTATAAGTTTTCTCCCACAGCAGCACTTACTTTTTGTGCAAAATAAGTTTTTGTTTTTTCATCAACCTCCTTGTGCCAGCAGGTATTCTTGGTTCCAACCTCCTGAAACTGTCTATAAGTCTATAATTCTTCTTCGTTGCCCACTTTGGGAGACAGAAGGTTCACAAATTGAAATTCTTACTGAAAATCATTTTTTACTAGTTTCAGCATTTTATGCTGCAGTGTTTGCTTTTAATTGAAAAATATTTTCTCTCACTGTTTTTCTACCTTGTCAGACTTTGATTAGCCACTAATGTTTCCGTGGCATTTTAACTATTACAGGAAAATAAATAAGAGTTTCAGTGTCAGTCCAGTTTTGCTTCAGGCAGTAAGTACCTCCTGTATAACAGACCCACTACCTGCTCCTCCTTGGTGTAGAGCTGGAAGCACTCATCCAAGGTGCAGCTAAACTGCTGGACGTGCTGCTGCTGCAGATTCCTCACGCTGTCCGCGTCTTTCACCACCTCCTCGTGAATGTTTCCAAACAGGCTGCGGGGACAACAGCACAAACGTTTAGTTACAGTCGACACATGAGCTCAACCTGCAGAACAGGTTCTGCAGTAAGAATAAAAACACACTGACCAGTCTTTGACTCTGTGCTCCCACTCGATGATGAGCTTCACGTGAGGAGGRCCTCCTGAGCCGCAGAGCTTCAGAGCTCTGGAACACAGAACAGTTCAGAGGATCGATGAAGGGCTGATTTAACAAATAAAAACAAACCTTTGAAATTCAATTAAAGGTGAAATAAAATAAAATATATATTTTAACTCACATCTTTCTTTTTTTTTAAATAAAACAAACCAGTGGCTATTTCTCTGATTTAAAAATGGAAGGACTTGTTTTTAGTGGGMTTTTTTTGTAGAAACTCCGAAAAGGGGGAATGTGGGGGAGGAGTTACTGTCCCTGGTTGATGATGTCACCAGTGAGCCACAGCTGGCTGTGGACAAAGAGCTATGTCGCGGTCACATATTTTATCACTAAAACTAGAAGCAGAAAACTTTGTAGAGTTCGAAGAAATGTCCGAGATCTTAGTACTACCGGTAACCTGAACCAACAGCTCTTTGTCAGATTCTGATGATCCTGACAACAGCCATGACCGACACCATGACGAACCCAAGGACCGAGTTGGCAACATCGAATGATGAGAACCAATCTTCCTCAGATTCTTATCATTTGAATGTAGAATTTTGCAATGCTGTTGTGCTTTAATCACAATTGCTCTAACTGGAATAAATAATGCTAAACGTGAATCAAGTTGCAGCAGATTGTCACAAATAGTATATTAACATTTGCACAAGATGTGAGCTGAGTTTTATGTATTTACTACCTTTTCCCACTAAGGTCTTTATATTMCTATGATTTTCTTGCCTTTATAGTGAACATTCCACTGAATATATGGGCAGGTTTATCTACGTCTACATTTCTACAACAGYAGAGGGAGAGGATCGGCTGCCAGGAGAGACTTGCCTTCTCCTTCAGACTGCAGGAAGCAGCATGATGGATTCAAGGCCAACTTCCTGAAGAGACGGGTGTTACAATTGTCCCTCCAAAATATGAGCAAGAAGAAGGTCCAATTAGGGACACAGAACCTCATCATTTGTAAGTGAATAATTTCTTTGTGAGTTGCACGTTAGCTATACTAGTATAACTATTTATGTCTTGCAAATTCATTGTGGTTCAGTGTAATTATATATTTTTTGCCATTACCGTTTTCATTTCAATGCTCTACATCATGTTTTTTTATTTACTCATAAAATCCTTAWGGAAGATTAGGCTGATTTATTATTACAAACTGTCCAGATATGACAGAAGAATCCATCCTGCATGTGTTAAATCTGATTAACCACCAGGTGTCAGRCTCATAGCAGTTCTGTGAAATAAACTTCATTCCATGAAAAAGGAAAWTGAACTGCCAGGAATTTACACTGAAGTTAGGAACTTTATTTACAGTAACATCTACATTAGGGGGGATTTTCGTGCTCATTAAGAGTGTTCCCACTCAAAGCTGTTTATATATCTGAGGACAGTGACGTCTTGAAATAAAGGCTGACGACAGCAAGACACAAAGCCAATAATGACAACTGTTGGCTGTGTAAAAAAGATGAGGTCAGAGTCAGAGTAAACATGCAGCCTCACCATCCAATGGACCAGATTCAGAATTCTTATTTAAAACGCAGTGCAAGATCGMGTGACTTTCACAAAACGTTGTTTAAAGTTTGACCATTTTTATGGTGTGAAATGCAGCGAGCAATATGCATTCCATCAGGGAAAGCTGGGATTTNCCTCTGTGGACCAGCCTGGACCACAGGACAAGCAAAGACCTGATCACCTCTGTGGACCAGCCTGGACCACAGGACAAGCAAAGACCTGATCACGTCTGTGGACCAGCCTGGACCACAGGACAACTAAAGTCCTGATCACCTCTGTGGACCAGCCTGGACCACAGGACCACTAAAGACCTGATCAGCTTGGATTATGAAATGTGAAAATTAGATTAAAAACTAATAATTTCCAAACAGGAAATACATATTTTCCTTTGGACTAAACAGTGACCTGACAGACACACACAGGCCACTAAAACAACATCATTAAAACGAGTCATCGAGGCATGCTGGCTGTGTTCTGCTGCGTGGAGGAGAGTCCAGACTGCCTGATACCAACACATCGGAACAAATCTGTAGAAAATCTCATCTCTGAATTTAAAGGGCAAAGAGGAAATCAAAACTAACTTAAGTAATTAGGAAAGTCTGATTATGTAAGCTGTAAAACGATGTTTGTGCAGAACTTTAGTAAATACAGTACACTTATGTGTTCAAACTCTGGTTCTCTGCAGGGGTCCTTCAAAGCCAGATCTGCTTCACACACTTTGTTCTCCGATGTTCCTGACATGTCCTCAGAGGATACAGCCTCTGAGCACAGGGCTGATGATGACAGAGCTGCTGAAGCTCAACTGAATCATGGAACAGAGATGGAGTCAAGCCAGGTGAAAGTTTCAAAGGATAATTATTAAGGGTGACAGTACATGAGCAACGAAGCGCCCTTAGTTTTACTTGGCAAGTTTCTTATTAAGATTATCACAGCAGCTGATTTATTTTGTCTTTTGCCAAAATATCTCAAACACTGGAGGTGTTTTAATTAACTTTTCAAAAGTGAAATTGAACATAGAGTATTTATAACAGATTAACATTTTAGTCTGTCCATATTAAGATGGACACCACAGCTAATCAACATTAGCTAACATTGGTTATATTTCAGTCAGTTTTACAGATGTGGAGCTAAATTTGATGCAGTTGTGGTTGTTTTATTCACATCAACACATACTCTGAGTAAGACAGCTCATTAAAAGCTTATTTCATTTTTGGTTACAACTACGACACTTCATTTCAGTTCAGTTTATTTATTTAGCACCAATTTACAACCCAGATCTGTGGAACACCAAAGTGTTCATAATGAATAAATAAATAAAACATGAAATAAGTTTCTATGTGAATAAATAATAGATAATGTGACAATATAATTGTGAAATAACAGAATGCATATATTATTCTGAGCTTAATGTTATGTAAAGTTTTCATTCT